AAAAAAAAAAAAAAGAGCCCGGAACGATACGACTGATGTATTTGCGGCTGATCAGATTCTACTAATCCGACTCGATCGAGCGTATCGGTTCCTGTTTCCATTGACAGGCCCTGTTTCCATACAATTCAGATAAAAGCACCAACGACATTGGGGCCAATCTCCACCTTCGTCCTTATCTCCCGCAACAGGGAGTAGGTGAAGTTTTCGGCGAAGACAATGTCGTCTGAAGACGAGAAGACTGTTACTTTGAAGAACCAGCTTCAAGATGAACGTGATGAAGGGTATGAATATGGGATCTGGGGATCTTGGATTCCTACATACATACCGAACAACTCGCTCGTCGTCATTTGGTTGTTGGTCGCTTCGTCATGTATCACCTCAACGGTACGTTATCCTGCCAGCCGAACACGATCTCATACTAACCCTGAAGGCAGACTCTTGGGTACGACGGCTCAATGATGTATGTCCTAACCTCCATTCGTGAATGTACACTGACGTTATATATCAGGAACGGCCTGAATATCCTCCCATCCTATGCATCTTATTTCGATCTCGACGACGTGACAACAGGTCTTTTGACGGCTTCTATTTGGATAGGCGGGTGTCTTGCTGGACTTGTCTACGGTCGCGTCACGGATGTCCTGGGTCGTCGGCCCGCAATGTTCTATGCCGCACTCATCACAGTCATTGCTGTGGTACTCCAAGGCGCCGCACAGAATATGGGTATGTTCGTGTTCGCGAGGATATTGGTTGGATTTGGGACGACTGCAAGCGGTGTTACTGGCCCGAGTTATTTGGCGGAGACGTTACCTGTTGAGTGGAGAGCGTGGGGCGTTGGGTTACTGAATGATTTCTATTATGTCGGTGCGTATCTCTCTCCCATTCTGATCTCCGTCTTCGGAGATATCTAATGAGGGTCATCTTGTAGGAGGCTTGATAGCAGCAGGAATAACCTACGGCACATTCGCCCTCACAACAACCTGGGCCTGGCGCATCCCTTCCATCCTTCAAGGGACTTTCTCAATTCTAACAATCTTCCTAATACCCTTCATACCAGAATCACCTCGCTGGCTTGCTTCCCGTTCTTTGTACTCGGCCACCCAGAGGTCCCTGGCACAGACATACGCAAATGGAGATGTGGAGAGCGAAGAAGTGAAGACTGCGTTTGAGGATATTGTTAAAGGGCTGGAGTGGGAGAAAGAGGAGGGACGACAGATGACTCTTAAGGAGGTGTTTAGAACGCGCGGATCGCGGAAGAGGGTTTTACTGGCTTGTTCTGCGGCAGTTTTCAGTACCATTGCTGGTAGGTTCTGTCTCCTAGCTCTGGAGGTTTGATGGTCTAATGATGGGGCTAGGAAACGTCATCGCTTCGTATTATTTGGGATCGATGCTTGATAATGCTGGTATAACGAACGCGAAGACTCAATTGGAGATCGTACGTGTCCTTCTTTTTCGCCAATGAGTATATACTGATCTATCTTTTGATATTCTTAGAACATAATCCTTAACGCGTTCTGCTTAGTCTGCGCCCTGTTTGGTACTTACTCCTGCGATAAATGGGGTCGTAAACCTACGACGGTAGTGAGCGCGGGGTTGCTTACCATATTCATCTTCATGATCGGTGGACTTACGAAAAGTATGTCTTCATTGTCAGTATAACGATGATCATGACTAACGGCTTCTAGCATACGGCTCTTCGACGAACACATCTGCGATATATGCGACAGTAGCCATTATATTCCTTTTCCAAGGTGCTTACTCCTTCGGATGGACGCCAGTTTTGTATCTCTATCCGCCTGAGGTGCTGAATTATACGATACGAGCAAATGGAATGGGCGTATTCCAGTTTGTGGCTAATGGAGTTGCGTAAGTCCAAGTCCCTCCTTCCCCTCTCACATATTGTGAAACTAATCACCACCCTAGCCTGCTATTTGTATTCACGATGCCGATAGCCATTACCAAACTCTCTTGGAAAATATACATTATAAACGGAGCCTGGGACGTCCTTGCTTTCTTCGCCGTTATCATTTGGTGGGTTGAGACGAAAGGGAAGAAGTTGGAGGAGATTGATGAGCTTATTGAGGGACGCAGAATGGGTGGGGTTGGAGTGGAGAGCGGTGCAGGCTTGGAGAAAGTCAGTGGTATAGACTTTCAGAGGGATGGAGATGAGGATGGCAAAGTGAGATAGGGTAATGTCGCGTTTCATGAATAGGGTGTAACAGAAAGTGATATGATATATATTAGTTTTCGCAATATATAGAAGCGATGTATTAGATCCACTTCTAGTAATGGCGCGCCTCATGTGACCGCGTCGCGACACGTGGTAGCTAGAAGCTGCTCGAAAGTGCCTGTGACAGCCGCCGTCCACAGCTGACTACGCTATTTGACAAGAGAGCGACTTGTTCGGAATCCGTATATCGACAACATATCTCATCTTTGCTCCTCGCTGTAAGCCCAGGGTAATCGCACACAACCTCCGGAATTATTGCAACGCTCCCGATCCTTGATCGCTCTTGTACGCGATGTCTAGAGGCATGCCTCTGCTCAGCGGCCCGCCGCCGGGATCGGATGCAAATGAGCAGTCATGTCGGAAATGCGACAAGGAGTTCAATATCCTTTTCACGCGCTCGAGGAGGTGCAATCATTGCGGTGCGTTTTGGCCTTCAGTTGCGAACTGGTGTGGCACTGATACTCGTAGTACCATTCGATCGTGCAGGTTATGCCTATTGCCACTCGTGCACAGACTTCCAGGCTCTGATTCCACGCCGTGGCGGCCCCGCGGATGGGTATGAACCGGTTCCTGTATGCGCCTTCTGCATAGATAATTTGACGAGTGCGTGGCGTACTCCTGCTGCGTTGCGCGTATGCGTGTGCAGCTGCCTGGTGGAATATTGATGATGCCAGTGCACAGTCACCGCAGCAGGCAAGGGACAGCTCAAGCAGCTTCCGCTGGCTAAGCTCAAGAAGTATGCGAATGCTTATGACATCAAAGTCAATGGTGTGTTAGAGAAGGATGAGCTGATCGAGACCATTCTGGCTGCGAGAGTGAGTGCTGGATTCCTCTTGAATTGACGCACACCTATTTGTGTGGCTATGCGTCGCCTCCCTCGCCTCCCACTCGCTCTGTGGGCTCGCGTTGTTTCTAGTAATCTCTTGCGATAGACCGAGAGATTGCGATATCTACGACTGTCGATCTCAGAATTTCCCCGTTCTGTGATTACAACTTCCTTGATTCTAATGCTCGTTCATCAAGGACCCACGCAATGGATGCCTACGCCCGGCCAACGAAGTACGTTTTTCCCTTCAACTCTCAAATACGACTGTTCTAGATGTAGGCTTCTTCATACTCAGGAGTATTACCGCAGGAACTCTGTCCCGAGCCGAAGAAATAACCGCTCGCGCGGATTCTTCACGCGAGCTATGGATGCCATGGGTCCCGATCGGTCCACTAACCAGTCAGCGCAATCGTCGCCGCACACGACTTACCAGGCTCGCCAACGCACGACTTCGGGGCCTAGTACGTTTCCGAGACCAGATCTTGATCCCCAAAGGTCTCAGCCGCGACAGCAACGGCCGAATCCTCCTCCGCCACCACCGCCGCCACCATCAAACCCGTCACCACACCCAAGTTCTTATGGGTTCGCTTATAGACCGCCCCCTACTTCATCACCGCATCTTCATGCTCCAGGGGGCTCACAACCGCGGGGGCGCACAAGAGCTGCCTCTGCGTCTCCTGCCCCTCGTGTTCCGACACCTCCGCCAGCTCCATCGCTCGATGAGCTCCTCGAGATGTCCGAGGAGCAATTATCTCATTTGTCCATCCATGCGCTGAAGACAGTATTGTTCCAGAACCATGTGAATGTTCGATTAGTGGTAGAGAAGGAGGAACTTGTGGGCAAAGTACGGACACTCTTGGAAGAAGAACGGGGGGACCGAGAGAGACATGCAGCGGAGTTGGAGGAAGAGAGACTTGCAGATGAGCGCATGAGACGAGATCTGGAAGAGGCGATGAGGCGGTCTCGCGAACAGAGTGCGGCGCCTACTGTTGTGAATACGGAGGAAAGCGCCGCCAGTGGAGCACTGCCCAATGAAAGTGAGGAAACTGAAAATGGGCCGGAGGATGCACTAGACTGGGACAGACGAGGGGATATAGCGGAGGGTGCGTTTAATTACAAAGTATTCACGCCCACTCGCGTTGATGCTATGTTATGAAGAGTCCTTACCTCCGCCACCTCCACCTAAGAGCACCACCTCTCCGCCACCACCGGCCCTCCCACCCAAGGCACAGGCTATGGCGTCCCGTCTAGAGAGGACAGGCCTTTGCGTGATATGCCAAGACGAGGAGGCAAACATCGCCATCGTTGACTGCGGGTGAGTGACGGTAAACTCCTCTCTTGTCGAGGAAATTGACATGGACGTGAAACGGCAGGCACTTGTGTCTGTGTCGGCCGTGTTCTGAGCTGATTATGAAGGGCTCACGAGAGTGCCCTCTCTGTCGCACTCGGATTGTGACAGAGCAGCGATTGTTACGGATTTTTCGAAGTTGAACTGGGGTGCATATGCGCCTATCGCTGCCGCCATCGCTCTCCTGCATGGATGATTGTTATCCTGCTGTGTTCTGATGCTATAATTACGCATGTATGATATATTTGACCATGACTGGCTCCGCGGAATCAATCTTGAATTATCAAGTACATACCTACATACATGCTGTCTTAGATGGTAAGCTCGCTAAAAGGCTCGTTCCCAGCCGTCCTTCATTTTGAACTCCGCTCCGAGGTAGCTTGAGCACGTTCGTCATTTTCGAACTCAGCACCCCTTTTGAGCAATTATCGACAAAAACGGTACGAAGATGTTCTCAGTCCGGCTATCCTGCAAGTCTAACTGACTGAGATTGAAATTCGTCGATCGCGTCGATTGAAGGGAGATCACATGACGGTGATGGCCCTCTTGCAGCCTGAGTGCCAGTCGCATATTGAAGTTGTCGACGACGGACGCGTTGCGCACAGTCGTCGCTTCATTCTCTTCACCCCCAATCTCTGCATGCGCCGTCCTGCTGTTTCTCATCGGATCTTGGCCGAAATTCGTCAGCATTTTCACTCCTGACCTGTGTCCTCGATTCGAGATGCAGCCTCCGCTCGAACAAAGTGGTGTACCGGCGCGTCCTGCAGTAGCGGACGTCCCTCATAACCAACACGGCCGGTATTACAATGAAGCCCCAGCTTCAGCTCCTGCTCCAGCGTATGCTCGTCCTGGCGTGCACCAGGACGCTGGTATCCTCCCTGCTCTCACGTCCGCCCTAATCAGTCTACATGACAACACACTCGGAAAGCTGGAGAAAATTGAGGCCTCAATTAATGCACTGTCGATAAACATCGCGCAAGTGCGTGAGCAGGCGCATGGCGATTCGCTTACGCTGGCCGAGTGGCTCGAGCGCTCGCACATGCGCCAAGCCAAGGCTACGCAGGTTCTCAGCGACAGAGTGGTCGCTATTGAAGGAATTATCGGCACAGTGCCATCTCTTCATCAAGATGCTACTTTAACTGGGCGTCTGCAGCGCATCGATTGTGTCCTCCATGAGCTACTGGAGTGTTCGAACGATCCGGGGGCTGCGAGTGAGCAATCCGCGTTCTTACCTATGCAAGCATTCATTGTCATTATACATAGGGATCAATACATTTCACACGGATGTTAGTGTCAATACCGATTTCGTCATTGACACACAGAGTGAGTAAGATACCCGTTTGGTGTACAGGGAGGCTTACTGTTCTATCAGAGTTCGTGGACATGGGAGTCGACCCAGCGTTTTCACTGCCAGAACTAGTGAACACAGGCACCTACCCTTGCCCTCCAGAAACCATCGACGCTGGAGTGGATTCTCCGAATGTACAGCTTTCCGATGCCTCTGTCGGCACCGAACTTCCAGGAACCGTCGACGCTGGAGTGGATGCTCTGACTGTACAGCTTTCTGATGCCTCTGTTGGCACCGAACCTCTAGGAACCGTCGACGCTGGAGTAGGTGCTCCGACTGTACAGCTTTCTGATGTCTCTGTTGGCACCGAACCTCTAAACTGCATTGATGTCGGAATAGACGTGCATACACTCACTTACGTTGATGCTGCGGTTGATCTGCCAACATCTCAGTATGCAGATGCTGCTGTGGTCACTGACAGCGTCGATCCTATTACTGATGACCATGTTCACCTCTTACGGCGTGTAGACTCATATGGTGCGTCGGTTCCTACCTTTGGTCTAGGTGCGAGATTCGCATGTACTTCATGTCACTCACCGATATGCATGGGTTAGCAGCGGTGTTGCAGCCTCGCTTCCCCATATCTCCATATAGGTCGGATCCTTTGACCCCGGCTCAATGGTCACCACAAAGCAATGATACTGACAGTAAGTTGCCACCGCATTCATTATCTAGGTTTCTTATATTAGTACATCTTTTTTTAATTCGTAGGTTCAGAAAATCTCACACCTGCCTCTCGTCAGTATCCCCTTCGCTCTATAGAGATCACGAATTTTTACACGCAGTTTGTGTCGGATAACCATAGACAATTCAAATATGTCGCTGGAGGAAATCGCAGAATGTAGTGCACTTTGTGCCACACCTTCCGGGTCGCTCTCCAGAAATACTTCACATGGTCCTCACGATCTTAAGAGATCGGAGGGTTTGCTTAACGTACTAGGATTGCAATCATCGCCGGATGTCAGTGAATCTCGGTCTGACGATGTCGCGGTGCAGATGTCACCTCCGAATGCATTGAGAGATGTCTCCGTGACCGGTATATCCGCACAAGCCACTACTTTGGCGGCTAACGTCAGCAGTGTTTCTATATCCCCGATCGGTACGTTGTCACCTCACTCTCCCGTTGCATTTTTTTTCCGCTAGCCTTAAGTCGTGGTCAGCTAAATCACATACTCAGCTTCATCTCCAACTGTCATGAATCCTTCAACATCTACCGCAACATCAGTGAGGAATTCAACATCTCCAAAACCACCTATGAAGAAATCGTCTGGTTGTTTCATACAGATACCTTTACCACGGAATCTCCGTACCACGGTCGTCCGTGTACCCTCTGTCTCGACTTCGCCTCCATTATCTCCACCACATGTGTCTTCGCAGCTGAAAAACTCATTGTCTAGCCTTTCATTGCTTTCGTCTTCGGCCTCGCCGCCACCACCACCCTTGCCTCGTAGAGTCCGTGGGCTAGGTGCGTCGCAATCTCGAGCCCCAGTCCGATCCGAATCGCCTGGGTTTGAGATCATTGAGGCCCCCACGAGTGTCACTGGCAATAGTTTTCACATAGATAATGGCAAAGGAAAGGTGCGCAGTAAAATTAGACCGCGAGATGAGGGCCAGGACCTCGATAAGTCGCGCAAGAGACGTAAGACGGATGAATTTGCGCTTCAATCTGCTTCCCAGCGAACAAAAACTCCCAGTCGCCCGCGGAAAACGCTCGATGAAACAGAAGTACGCAAGACGCTTGCACCGCTTGCTAGCACGTCAAAAATGGCAAGCACTTCAGCAGCCAAATCCCCTACAGGAGAAATTCTATGTGACTGGCCAGCAAAGGTGAATGGCGATGTTGTCTTTCAGCGTGAGGTTAGTATACTATCGCTCCCGTATTTCCGAAATGCTGACAATTTGCGTGGTGGTAAAGTTTGTGCAATGCGACAAGTATGTCCTACACATCTCTCTTTCGCTTATAGAAACTGATTGCGTGCGCCAGCTGCGATGGATGGTATCATTTTGGCTGCGTTGGCTTCACAGTTGGTGATCCACGCCTTGAATCCGATTCAGAGTACTTCTGCCCTCCGTGTCAAGTGGCACAGTAAGTGCATGCATTCCTTGCCAACCTGTCAGCAAGCGTTAATTTCATCTCCCTTTTGTCTGTAGAGCCCAGCGTATGTGTCACTTCATGTCCTTATTACAACAGGCAGTTCCTTTAACTCTACTTTAGGCGGACGTCGACACGCGCATAATACTTCGGCTGCAACTTGTGCACGCCCGGACTGTAATATCGTTTCCGACCCCTCGCAGGTAGATGAATATTTCGTGGACAGGATCATCGGTCGGATGCCGCAGAAGCTCGGTGAGTGGACTCCTGTACCGAGCTTTGTATGGCTCGTAAAATGGTTTGGGTAAGTCCTTCTTACCTTTCACGTCTGGTCCTGCTCAATGGATGGATGTCTAAACAGGTATCCTGTCACCGATGCGTCCTGGACAATGCCGGAAAATCTGGGCGATGGCACTCGCTATATTGCTGATTTTGAAGATGCAGCTGAGATTGAGGGACACGACCTCAACGACCCGCATGAGGTTGTTTTATTGAACGAAGCTGCCGCTGCTGGATGGCTCTAGGCTCTATGTTATGCATTCGCGCTATCCTTTCTCTCTCCTTCTCTAGGTCATGTATGTTTTAGTGCACCATGTATCATGATTGTTTGATGAAAATACTTACAGTATGAAGGACCTTATTACATAGCATATAACATTCGCAGCAGTTTTCATATGGTACAATATGGACTCTTAAAAGAATAATTGCTTTTTGGTGATTGACTGAACTACGTGATTAACTCAGTATAAGGTGGAAGCTGTCACGATGTTTCCTGCGGAAGCGCAATAAGCTTCACATTGCTCACACCTTTTTGAAGTCTCTCCAGACCACTTATGATGCCCTCCAATCCATTCGGCAGCATCTCGACACGGTTGGGCTGTGGAGGATAAGCAGATGTCAGTTGGATGAACAGGATTGTGCGGCACTGCGACACCTACTCGAATGGCACCCTCTATCAACAGATGAGATAGTTTCGCAAAGAGGCTGGCTCCCAGGGTGCGAGCTGCAGGTGCGTGTACAATGCCGTACACGTACTCGACACGCTTGTCAGACGTCTTCCTGGCCTCATCTATGGCGAGCTGGTAATCAATAATGAGGCATCCGCCGGGAGCGAGGATGTCGTAGGCGAGATTCTGTGTCTCGGGAAACGACACGGCGTCATAGATAGCTTCAATAGGGGCGGACGTGATCTTGGACACCTCAGTCCGGATAGCGTCTGGGGAGAGGCTGCGGTCCAGAATGTGTGTGGCACCCAACGCAGCAAGATAATCGGCATTGGACTTGGAAGCAGTGGTGATAATCGGATTGAAGCCGGAGAGCCTGGCCAGCTGGATCACTATCATAAGATATTAGTTCTGACCGAGAATGCAGCTATTGCAGCGAAGGGGGACTGTGACTCTTACCGTACTGCCCTACTGAACTGGCACCGCCCATGACAACGAAAGGTTTTCCACGGTACAGACCACGTCCGCCTTCCTCCCAAGGGGGGAACAGCCCAATACCGCCGACTCTGTTGTAGAGGCCCACCGCAGCGGTAGTAAGACCAAGCGGGATCGATGCGGCCTCCTCGAATGAGAGCGAAGCAGGGATCTACGTGAGGTGTGATGTCAGCCATTCCGATAATAGGCTACCGAGGAGAGAAAAAAACCTTAGCGGTAACATTCACGGACGCGAGAGTAAATTGCTGGAAGGATGCCTGGTCAGACTCACCGATAGGAGCCTCGGTAATGCTACGAGGTATTGCATCAGTTCGTAAGACAAGCTGGTGGCTACCGAACGGACTTACACTCTATCGCCGAGCTTGAAACCCGAGACCCCCTCGCCAACGTCAGTGACGGTACCGGCGATATCTATCCCGAGGATGGTTGGATACTCTCTGATGAAGAAATCATGAACTTGGATCTTCCAATCCACGGGGTTGAGAGCGGTGGCATAGATCTTTATAAGAATTTGGCCCGGCCCTGGTTGAGGCACAGCGGCAGTCCCAACGGCAAAAGAGCCCTTTGCGGCGGTGAGGAACAGAGCTTTCTGCCGCGACATATTGAAGAACGAGGAGGTTGGCTATGAGTGGTCCTTAGAGGAGGACATTTATATAATCTTCATAGATCTGTGCAAGCGGGTACTCGTCCTGGTCCGAGATGACATAGAAGATGACAAAGTTGGTCCCCAGGTGGATGGACTAGGCGAGGACTGAGGCATGCGTGTTTCTGCATAGTCGATGGCACAGATACAACGGTAGACCATCCTGCACCCACATGAAGTCCGTGGATGAGCGTGCCAGCGTCTTTTCCAATCCGGACACTCGCACAGATCATAAACAAGCCCCGCAGAGGCTTCCCGTCCGTCTGACCAAGTCCGTGCAGGATCCGTGCAGACCCCGGTGTGAGTGGGAACGCCGGTGGGTGTGAGGAAACGCAGGTCCATACCGCGCTAGCCGGTCGTTTGGACGTTTCTCGACGTCGTATAGTTCGTTGGCCGAAAGGAGTCCCGCGCTGGTCGCGTTGCCATTCTAGTCTGTGCAACATGCAGGCTAAATACAACCGTACGCACCACTGGTTAATAAAAGATCACTCATTTACAGGATCGACACCAGCGGCAGTCTCGTCATTCACGGCGGAGAAATTTGCACTGGGCTCCCCACCAACTGGAAAAGTACCTTTCCTCTTCGATGGGCTCCTCACCAACTGGAAAAGTACCTTTCCTCTTCGATGGGCTCCTGTGAAACGAAGAACATGCATGACAAGAGGTAGGGGTGATATCTCATAGTGGCATTAATGAAAACACTGATACCATGCGGGGTTGTATCTAAAGAACGACCCAGCAATTACATGTGCACTCGCGACTCTACAAATTATCTCATAAGCAGGGGACAGGTGAGGGCCATGGGATGAATGAGATACACACATCATATAATGGTCTATCCTCACACCAATCACCCTACTGCTTGTAGCAGTCACACACCCAGTATACCCTTGCTCCACTGCCATACCGCAAAGCTGACACCCGTCATCGGGACGATCTTTAAATAACCGATCCCTAGCCCGACGTAGAACCCGCGCCAACCCCGAGAGTTCCATATGGCGCGCACAGTCTCGCCCCAGTGCAGCCATCGATCAGGACGTGTAAGCCCACCCACTTGCATGCGCCGCCGGATGATCTCAAAGGGATAAGAAACTGTCTGCGCTACCGCTCCAGATGCGGCCCCAATGATGAGGTTGGTAACAGGATTGGATTTTGACCGCGCTCTGGAGTCTGACGATGGTGGGGGAGGAGGGATAAAGTGCGAGCGCAGAAAACCCCACGCGAGGAAGGATGTTCCCGCGTAGGGAATCATACCGATCATGGTGACAGTGAAACCGCGATAGAATTTTAGGATGGGAAAGCGAGAGAACAGGCTCGCTGTAGTCTCGGGAATGACGCTCGGGGAGGCTTTTGGGATGCTGGACCCTTCGCGATATATCTCAGACATCGCGAGCACAAACGAGGGTCGATAGGGCACTCCCTGTGGCGGAACAGATGAACGCGTACTGAATGCCATACGAACGCGGATTAATTCTAGAGGGTAGGTGAAGACCACAGATATCATTCCTGGAAGGCTTTTTCAGCAGATGGATGCTTCGAACGGGACGGCATATGCACCTGAAATGGCTCCAGCTGAGAAACGGCGTAGGTTGGTCTGTGACTCCCTCGTTGGCATAAGAATCTGAAAGGTGAGACGATATGAGAATTGAAAAGAGTCAAAAAAATCGTACTCAAACTGGCTCACAAGTTCTACTTGATCATAAGCCATATATTTTATGGCGGCGTAAGGAAATATACGAAGTAGGGTCGCCGAGTGGCCTTGCAATAACCCGCGAGCACCATTCTCCGTGTAAATCTGTCCTATCGCACGTATGGCACCACTCCAAGATCCTGTGCGTACATAGTAAAGTTGAAGGGGCAAGTTCTCCGGGGGGACTCAAGACTCACCGGCATATTTCTGAAAGTCCGGGCTGGACGCCTGAAAGAGAATTTTGACTCTATCGAGCGGCGCAACAACTGTCTTTGCCTAGAACACCACGATAAAACCGCTTTCAAAGCATAGGAAAAGGTCTACATACAACACAACCAGCAATACCACCAGCGATGCCCGAGCGTACTATGTAGTGCAGGCTCTGTGTATTGGATGAATCATTCGCCCGCATCCGACTCTGCCTGTTCTTCTAGTTCGTGCGGGACTCGACAGCAATGTGTTCAGATGGAAGCAGAAAGCGAAGCGAAAGCAAAATATGCACTGCACGTAAGACAGCGGCGCGAGTGTTGTAGTCGCGGTCTCGGAATGGATCTCATCGTGTTTGTTACAGAATGGCCGTCAGAATGACGCCGCCCCGCGGGTTACGCAGGCGCACGCACGCGTCCAGAATCCAGATCATGCTCGCCAGCCACGATGATCCCTCGCTCAACTCCCCACTCATAACATGCCGCCAATACCCAGCACACTCGATGCCACGACCATTTCTCTCGTCGAGTCGCTCCAAAGACGCCAGAAAGATCTGTCCGAGTTCCAGCTCAGCCGCTTGCGCTCATGCACCGGACCTCTAGCCGTCCAGCAGCGCTTCGCAGCTGAACTTCGGGAGGACTTGGAAGCATTTGCCCGACAGGTGGAGGTATGCCGAAGCCTATCAAGCTGGGGCGGTCTGTCACACACTTCTCTAAATAGAACCTGGATGCCGCAGTGGACGACCAGAGGACCGAACGTGACCGGCGGGAGCTTAGGCGAATCGTTGAAGAGTTCCAAGGCGTATTAACCAGGTGCGTATGTATCTCAAATGTGTCTGTGATGTGTGTATTCACGTAGCTCAGCTTGAAGAAGGACGCGCGAGCAGCGCTTCTTACCTCCAAGCGTGCTCTCGACTCACAGCTGCTGTCGCATCGAGAGGAGCTCCTGCGGTCATCTGCAGTGAGGGAGAAACAAGACCTGAATGAGAAAGTCACGTTAGTGATGAAATTCATACCTCATGGCCCTCGTGCTAATCGCTATCGCAGTGAGGATGCTCTCATGAAAGCCAATAACGATGTAACGCAGACATTGCAGCGAACAATCACTCTAATGCAAGGAGAGCTCGAACGTTCTGTCTTGTCGTCCCAACTTCTGGGTACGATGGTGCCTTTGTGCCAGTCATATTGAACGACATTCATTTATTTTGCTCGCAGATACCTCATCTGCCGCTCTACGTTCAACATCTTCAACGCACGACGTGCTGGATGGCTTGCTCTCCACTTCCAAACACCTCATTACTGCTCTCGAAAAGTCTGATTGGATGGATCGCATGCTCATCTTCGCCGGTCTCGCCTTTTTCGTCCTGGTAGTGCTCTTCATCCTCAAGCAGCGTTTGATTGACCGCAGCATCCGGATAGCCTTCTGGTGGACGCGTTTTATACCCAACTTTAGTGGAGACGCAGCCCTGATGCGCATGGAGGAAGGGAAAGATGTGGCGCGGAGTGTGGTTGAGACGGCCTCTGCTTTCGCTGCCACTGCGTCTGCCGTCGCTGCATCAATAATTGCATCCCAAAGTTTCGCGCCCGATAAGAGTGTTGCGTCGCCGACAGATGCAGCCTACGACACCATTTCAGAAGTGTTGGAGACAGTTGCGCCTCAGCCTACGGCCTCTCCTATAGACACTAGTACTACCAATGCGCATGACGAGCTGTAAAGGTGGAGACAGTGCGCCAGGCTGATTCGTCTTGAATATTATTCTTCAAAATGATTGTGCCATTGCGGAATATGTTGAGAATATAACAATGCTAGAATCCTCGAAAGATGCTTACGCTGATCTCGATCGTCGCTCGCCCTCTTATATTTATATAATCACCTTCGGAAGGATACGATCCTCGAGTTCAAGCTTCAATCCATGATTTGAGCCAAGAAGCTGGCCCGGGCGCTGGATATATCTAGGGCATGCTAGTATTGCGGTCACCTCCGAGCTATCAGCGCTTCAGCCATTTCTCTGCTAAGGTGGGTGAGGCGTATGCATGGCTTTAGGCTGAGGTATGTTAGTCCACTCGTGCAATGCAGCGTACTTTGGAAAACTGATACACATCTATGATCATCTCATTGAGCCGATTAGCAGACAGACCGTACGTGGACACCTGAGTTTCGGTAGATATTCAAGTTCTATTACGTTACCGAATGCCTCGCGGACCCGACCCAGCCTGTCTCGAGTGATAGACTTTGCGGTGTCGTGCATCTTCCTCCTCCGCAACAGTCATCTCGCTAGCACAGATTTTTATATCATACCGTCTGACTCATGGATCTCTTACCCAGTATGTGGCGGCAATGATCCGTCTAGATGTTGTATTTATATTGATTGCACTCTTTAGATGCTCTCATTGACTCGCAGCAGAACTCAGTGCGAGATATCTGTATTGTCGGTGCTGGCCCTGGGGGCTTAGTTGCGCTCAAGATGATCATGGATACCCCACAGTACAAGGAAGGCGTCTGGAGACCTATTGCATTCGAGGAGCGCGAGAAAGTGGGCGGTATCTGGTGAGTGTATTCAAGCTATATCGGCTCGCGGAAAGCTCACAGTCCTCATCGGGATTCTTTCGCGCGACGACTACTGCCAATGCAGGGTACCTGCTCCCCCCGTCGATGACCCTCCCATCACACCGCTCTATGATTCGTTGACCACCAACCTTCCCCATCCTCTCATGTGCTACGAGTCGTTCCCGTTTCCTCCTTCAACCCCGCTCTTCCCTCCCGCGAAAACTGTAGAAACATACCTAGACGACTATGCTTCTCACTTCAACTTGATGCCCCACATCCGCTTGAGTACCCCGGTCCTCGCGGTACACTGGAATTCGGAAAGCTTGAAGTGGCAGGTCCGCGTTAGTGATGACGAGGAACACACCTACGATCTCCTCATAGTTGCCAACGGTCACTATCGAGTACCACGTTTTCCGGATACGCCCGGGATAGATGCTTGGGTAGCCAAGGGAAAGGCCACGCACTCGGCGTGGTATCGTCGTCCAGTAAACATGGGCAACACTATCATGGTCGTTGGCGGCGGGCCGAGCGGGAAGGACATCTCAGCAGAGATGCGGGGCGCTGCGCACGTCGTCATCCACTCTGCAACGAACAGTGCGCCGGAGGATATCGACGATGGCACGCAAGGTACTCTCAAACGCCGTGGACGCGTAGCTGAATTCCTCGATGTCGACGAAGGCCGCGTACTCTTCCAGGACGGATCGATCGAGACGGGAGTCGACCACTGCATCCTCGCGACGGGCTTCAAACACAACCACCCGTACCTCCCGCCGGAGCTCCTGCGCGCCGCCGTGCCCCCACCAGTACCACCGCTCCCGTCGACGTTTTACAACTCGACATATCATCTCTTCCCTCTGGCGCGACATCTATTCCCGCTAACTCCGACATTCCCCCCGGAGCGCGCCGTGTTCCTTGGGCTGCTCAAGGGCATCGCGCCGCTGCCGCTCATGGAAGCCCAAATGTTTGCGGCGCTCAAGATCTTCGAGCGCCCGGAACTCTTGGACCCTACGCAAGAGGCAGTGGGGGTTGTCACGCGGTACGAGCACCTGCGCCAGCGTATGGGCGACAGCGACATCCATATCGCGTCCGCGTGGCACGTCTTTGCACCACAGGCGCAGTATGACTACCGCGACGAGCTGCATGCGCTAGTGGGCGATGATGAAAGCCGGGTGGCGACCTGGGTCCGAGATATGTACGACCAGCGGGACGTGTTGCGAGCGGAGTGGCGGGACCTAGAGCGCCGAGGTGAGGCTAACGACTGGGTACGCGGCGTAGGCGAGGGCGGAACAAAGGAGTGGGTAGAGCTCATGCAGAAGCTGCTTAAAAGAGCTGACGAGAGGAAGACAAAAGAAGAGGCGGGTGATCGCAAGGCAAAATTGTAAGTGTGCCATCTGTGCTGAGATATTTTGACGTCTGTATTGACGCATCGTGCACAATAGTAGCCTATTTAATGTATGCTCGTTCCAATAGAGTAGGAGGAATAATAATATCTATGATCTGCAAGCGAATGCCATGGGAATCACGGGCATTACGAGATAATGGCGAAAGAAATATGATCAACGCACCCCTGCAGTATACCGAAGCCGGAGCTCTCAAAACGAATGAATAAGTCCACTACTGAGTCCCCTCCGCTTGACGTAGCAAATGAGGTTTGAGACCCCACAGAGCGTATTTCCCTTCTTCTATTTTCTGCCGAAAAGACGACATCTCGGCTTCGTATTCTAGCCATTTGTCGACTGTTTCAGTCGACGCCAGGCCCTCGTCGGCTTGCGAAACCTTGCGCATTTCCCTCGAGAGGTCCTGCATCTGCTTTTTTGTGAATGGTCCAAATCTGACATCGGCTGTTGGCCAAGCGCCACAGGAGAACATGAGCACACCTCGTATCGTAAGATAGGAGATTAAGCACTTACGAGGCTCTTCTGGTGCTAGGATGGTATATTTCTTTTCGTCTTCGGGAAGCTGGAATTTGGAAAGCTCTGGAGAGCAAGATTGTACAGGAGTGGGGAGCTGTGTCTTCGAGGTTGGGAAAATGGCAACTGAAGATCTGTCGCGGTCCGATGAACTCTTTGTAAAGTAAGTAGGAGTAGCCACGAAACGCGTAAATATATGCTCACGGTAATTGCGGTAGCAGTCCTCAGCTCGAGCCACGTCTGTACATCGTCAACCTTGACCTTGAGCCGCTTCGCCCAAATTCTCACTTCAATGTCGTTGGGAAATGGATTCTCCGAAACCAAAACTGCAAGCTTCGGTATGGTATCTGGACGCGAGCGGAAAGAGGGGCATACTATGCCAACCTAGCGTTACCTAGTGCATCAGCTAGAATTTGGCGAAACGACGCACATATGTCTACGCTATTAGGGGATGATGAATATGTTGAAGAGGCCAGCTCCGGGGTCTCACCTTGAGTCTTCTCTCGAGTCGCATCTCGCTTTCGCTTCGAATCAAAAAGCCTTGAAAGTTTACTACCTGTGTAATGGTCGCAACCTGGCAGAGCTTTGAGACGCTGCAGTAGGTCCCTCCTTTGTAAGAGCGTCGGCTTGGTGTCGATAGCGTACAACTCTTTGAAAAGGCAAGATGAGTACACATTCAATGAGACCTTGTGCAACCGTACCATCTATGAGCTTGTATCCCTCCGGTGATAGGCGCCTTGTCTCTTTCCGCTTGTGTGGCTGCTGTGCTCCTGATGTCGATGGCGGGGTACCAAAACTGTTGTGGGCGGGCGGGCTGACTACTGTGGACAAAGCAGTGGGGTAAAAAGGGAAGGATCCCTGCATGTTGTGGGAGGAGGGAGTGGCAAGGGAGTGGCGAAATGGCTCGTCCTGTCTTGTCATCAAAGCAATCCGTTCGCGAAAATCCTAGTAAAGGCAAGAATTCGATCGACGCGTTTCCATTTGTGGTTAGTCTGCTCACTGATAACAAGTACTAATCTTGAAATAGGGTGATATTACTGATAGCTTGTGGGAGATAAGCTATTGTGTTGGCATAAAGATATCTTGCGCCAACCTAACAAGCACTGTAACAAATCCCTAATTATCTCTTTCTACGCCGCTGTCGGTTTAGGACGGGTTTAGGATAATTAAGTGCTTACTGAGTTCCTCGGCTAGCGTCCAGCAAATTCAAATCAGCAACAAAGTGACTCAATTTGAGCAAAAACAAAACGACAAGTAAGACTCAAGGAGAGATTCAGCTAGCACTCTGCACATTACGATGACCTGATCCCCAGAAGCAGACCAGCTCTTATCTCGTCGCCTTGGATTGAAACGATCATGAGTCGATGCTGTATGGGTAAGTGCAGTGCCAGTGAGCGATGGTATCCCATATCATTAATTATCATTAATACTCCAGATCGGCGTATCCAAGCCGACATCAAGAAGTTCGCACCGGCTCGAATTCTCAGCGGGAGAAGTCCGGACCAGTCAGATGCTGCTCAGGACACAATACCGTCAGCTACTCTCTGAGGATACTGCTAGAGAGGAGGTGCACTGCGAGGACGAACGAGAGGTCGAATCGAAAGCGCCCGACAGGCGACCGTGGGTGTCAGGCTGCCGGGGGTGGAGGTGACAACGGGGGCAGTTGACGTCGCGCGATGATGAACCTGACGCCGCAGCCCGCTCCCCATGGACCAGCCCGGGGGGGCAGTGGCGCGCCACTCGACTATCCCGTCGCCAAGTCACACTCTGATACTTGTGCGCCCCGCTCCAACTCCTCTGCAACCAACAGCATCAACCGCTACTCACACCTTCCAAGTAGCCGCCTTTACCACCTTCTTTCGTAGGTTTCATTCCTTGTTCTGAAGGGCTGCGCGCAGCAGAGACGGGCCATTCAGCAGCTTGACCAAGTGCAGTCTCAAACTTCACCTCACGACCCTCGTTAGGCCTTGGCCGTAGCTTGAGCTCATGCTTCTTCCACTGCACTTTCCTTTGGCACTGCTGCTCCCAGCCTTTGCTTCGGCCTTCTCGTTTGAATTTACAAATACTCCAGAACAATGTCAGAACCTTTCACTCTCCATCACTGGGTCCGGCACCCCTCCTTATAGTGTGCTGGTCATCCCGTTCGGACCATCACCCTTGGCGAACAACATAGAGGTCCGAAAGATATTCTCGGTTCAGTTCAGTGGGACGTCACATAGCTTCCAGCTCAACTATCCCGGTGACTCCCAGTTCGTGGCCGTGGTGAGTGGACATATTGTAATTGGATCACCTAAGGGTCTTGCCCGATCTACGCCACAAGGTCAATCGCGCTAGTGGTGACATTGTGCCTACTCTAGGCTGCGCTTCACAGCTGGCGTCAGACTCGACTTCGGGTATACCCCGTTGAGCGGCACGCCAGATCTTGTTATGCCACTCCGTTATGTAAATGTCGTTCGACGTACTAACAATGTCATAGGTTAGCGATAGCACTGGGTTTGGAACGGGTGGCACTAGTATCGCGGCCACCGTGCTCTCAAGTAGCGACTCCAGCTGTTATAACGACACAGAAGTTTCGCCTGATTGGGATTTCAGTATCTTTCCTGCCAATCAAATTGTGGAATGTTCGGCGATGCGTATCGATTGGAACCCAGCAGTGGTCGAAGGGTGCGCCACAACATGCATCTTTTGCGTTCATGTCATTAACGCATTTGTAGAACGCCAACATTTCAAGGGGTCATTCCTGGAGGGCAGTCATTTGCGATTCCTCAGGGAACTCTGACGAATGTTACTGGCGAAGGCCTTGGGTTCAGCTGGACACCTTCAGTCAGGATAGGGACGACGGTCATTCTTGTTGGTGGTGACAATCGTGGACAAGGAACAGGAGGCAGTGGATTGTATATTGTATCCCAGGGGTCGTCCCAGTCATGTCTTAATGCAAACTCCCCTTCGTCTACACCGGGCTCCCCTGCTGGTGGGAGCTATCCCACAAGTACAAGTGGCGCAGGGACTGGTGGTGGGAGCACGAGTGACGGGTAAGTAACAAGAACTGTTTAAAGATTGCTTGAATTGACGGTATCTAGGCATAGTACAGATGTCGGAGCTATAGTCGGTATGTCCAGCCGATTTGCTGGTATTATACACAATATAATAAAGCCTATATAGGCGGTGTCATTGGCGGTGTCATTGGCGTAATACTAATCCTTGCGGCATTATTCTTCCTTCTTCGAAGACGTCGCAGCCAGAAGGAACCAAAAGAGCAGCCCGTGGACCTACTCCTGGATCATGATCATGACGATGGGCAGCTCCCGCAGTACTACGAGCCACAGCCGTTCGTCATGCCCGAGCCGACCGTGCGTTCTTCCACAGGTGGTGATATGGAATCGCAAGCAAACCCACAGCTGACGTACGAATCCACGTCGTCGCATTATGGTGCGGAAGGCGGCTTGCGGGCGGGCACGCCTGATTACACGGCGCGCAGTGGATCTTCGGGGTATTTACGCAAATCGCCTGCGGTGATGCGTCCAGTGAATATCGTGCAGCATGAGGACGCGGGTCCGGAGGAGGCGGGTCAGGAGCCAGAGACGATTGAGCTTCCGCCGGCGTACACGAATCTACGCGGGAAGTCGACGCCACAACCATCGCCGCCGGAGTCCTCGTCATTGTCCGCTGAGGCTTCCTGATCATAAGTCGTTATGAGGGATACTAGCAGGTGAGCGATCACGGCTCATACAGAGAAACTGGCAGGCACTGATTGCGCCCTGGAAAGATATTGATTTGATACGCCTGCGCTATCGTCGGACTGGTTCGTTTCGTCCCTGGTGATGGAACAAAGGACGTTTACTTGCATCTGCACGTTTGTATATCAACCTGAGTTTCGGATGGACGATAGCCCTTTTGTGTGCTACAACCTAAGTTTGGTTGTAGACTTAGCGTAACTCATCGTTTGTCCCGAAATTATTTTGCTAACCTACTGTATGGATTAGTGCCCTTAATAGAATGATGTGTCTCGGCGGTTTGGTGTGCAGCTCACGGGGATCAAATTCGGCAAGCCGATCAAAACCATGCGACTTCGCTACACGCACTGCTTTCTTGTGCTTACCGTGCTGTTTCATACACATCCTGGCGCCATTTTGACTTGTGGCGATATCAAGATGATGTTCCGTCGCCTAGTCCTCACGATAGCTTGTTATATCCGTGCTCTAGAGATATACATCAAGCCCAGCTCCGCCGGACATCACGGCCATTTTTTCTGTCGAGTATATGACAGCGCTTTGCTTAGCACCGAACGCAAGTTTATTCCCGTCTCGAACAAGTCTCGAGTAGACGGATAGTGTCCGCTCGACATGACCACTCCCATCCCGTGTCCACCGTCTTTGCCATTTCTGGGCCATATTACCTCCATCGACAAGGATCTGCCCCTACTTTCTTTCTCACTCCTAGCACAGCAATATGGCGAGATATACCAATTCCATCAGTTTTGTAAGTTCCGCTCATTGATCTTAGTGAGATAGATATCGAACAGTGTGCCTCGGGCTGCAGCGGTGAAAAAGGTCGTCGTCAGCTCGTATGAGCTCATGCACGATGTCAGCGACGACAAGAAGTTCTTCAAAAATATCGGCGGGGTTCTTGAGCAAGTTAGGAATGGTGTCGGCGATGGTCTGGTCACAGTGAGCATATTCGTTCTGTGCGCTTCAGGCTGCCAGTCTTCACATGTCATAGGCCAGACCAGACGAAGAGAATTGGGGCCTCGCCCGTGCGTAGTACCGTTTGGATTATGTGCAGGCTATGCCGATCTATTTTCCTACAGATCGTCTCCTAACGCCCGCTTTCGGAGCGGTAGGCATTCGCGACATGTTCGACGATATGTGCGATATTGCCACCCAGCTGATTGTGAAATGGGAACGGTGAGAGCTAGTTCCACATTAGCGTCGATGATATCTAACCAGATTATAGCTTTGGCCCTGGGGCTGTCATCAATCCCGCCGAGGATTTCACCCGGCTGACTTTTGACACCATCACCCTATGCGCCATGTCTCACAGGTATGTAGTCGCTTATATTCTGGACTATATGCTAAAGTTGTTCCAGGCTTAATTCCTTCTATCGAGTTTGTACCTAGGATTTTTCAAGACATAGCATGATGGTCTGACACGACTCTGATATGTAGGAGACTAACCATCCGTTTGTCCAGGCCATGGTCGACTTCCTGCTCGAGTCTGGCCGTCGAACGTTCCGACCGTCAGTGGTCACGAATGTAATGGGCTATAATACGAAATATGAAGCAGATATCAAAGTCATGACGGACCTTGCAAATGACAGTACGTAGGTCTACTTCGAGCGCGAGCTGTGTGAGGCCAATCACCTTGACAGTTATCGCGGATCGTAAGAAAAACCCAACAGAGAAGAACGACCTCTTGAACAGGATGTTGAACGGAAAGGACCCGAAGACCGGAAAGGGACTCTCTGATGAAAATATCAGATATAATGTAAGTTATGCCTCTATCCGCGAATTTCCTCTAGACACACTATATGCGCTGGTCACTGACGATCATTGTTAGCTGCTCACCTTCCTCATTGCCGGTGCGCTTACCATTAAATTACTGATGACATGCTGCTTATAATTTTCTAGGACACGAAACCACATCCTGTTTGTACATTCCTTCTCACTGATGCTTCTGTGTCTAAGTAAGCGATAGCCACCTTATCATTCACGTTGTACTATCTGCTCAAGAACCCGGAGGCAATGCGCAAGCTGCGACAGGAGGTAGACGAAGTACTCGGTGACCAGCCTCCTCAGCTGCAAGACCTTAGCAAGCTGACATATCTCAACGGTAATACATGCGTGACGCTCAACGGAAACCCTGGCTGAATGGCTATCGCACCAGCTTGTCTACGCGAGTGCCTGCGTTTGTCCCCAGCCTCACCCATCCGCTCTGTTGATGCGCGAGATGATACGGTCATCGGTGGTGGAAAGTACACTATTCAAAAGGGGCAAAGCGTGATTATAACCACCGGCAGAGCGCAGCGAGATCCCAAAATATGGGGAGAGGATGTTAGTTTTTGGCACGATTTATGTATTCGCTAGAGCTCATTCTCGCGACCAGGCAGACGAGTTCAAACCAGAGCGTATGTTGGACGGCAAGTTCGACCAGCTTCCTGTAGGTGTCGATGTCACCGGTGGGCTGGCATTTACTGACTTGGTTAGCCCCATGCATGGCAACCGTTTGGCTTCGGCATGCGAGCTTGCATTGTGAGTGTACCTTGGTTGGTGCTCTCCTCCTTATTAACGGTCTTGCCTTCAGGGTCGCGCGCTTGCCTGGCAAGAAATGCTCATTCTCATCCCTCTCATCCTTCAGCGCTTCGATATCGCGATGGAGAACCCCTCGTATGAGCTTGAGATTAAGCAGACGCTTACAATCAAGCCCAAGGAATTCCACATCCGTGCTGCTCCGCGTAAGGGCCGTGCTGTCCCCCTGGCGATACCTAGTTCGTCGCTCCTCCAGGCTCGGCGCGGCGACGAGAAGAAACCGTCCAAGACAACCGTGCCTGTTCAGGATACGGTGTCTAACACGCCAGTATATGTAATGTACGGTTCGAACACCGGAACGTCGGAGACCTTCGCCCAGCGGATAGCTAGTGATGCTGCATCCTATGGTATGCCTTATCCACATTCGCATGACCACTAATTTTGCTAAATTGCAATAGGTTTCCGCGCGAGTATCGGAACCCTCGATTCATTCACAGGCAAGATCCCTACAGACGGACCCGTCGTCATCATTACTGCATCCTTCGAAGGTAGGCTCTCCAATGCGTACATAGGCGAACTGAGGCGCATCATGTTACAGGCGAGCCTGCCGACAACGCGGCACACTTCGTCGAATGGATCACGAGCCTCAAAGGCAGCGAGCTCACAAATGTTAGCTATGGTCTGTTCGGTTGCGGCAATCGCGATTGGTACCAGTCGTATCAGCGCATTCCGACTCTGATCGACCGTCTCCTGGAAGAACGCGGGGGAAGACGATTGGTCCCTCGCGGAGTGGGCGACGCCAGCGCAGCAGAGTTCTTCGAGCGGTATGATGACTGGCAGGCGCAACTTTGGGAATCGTTATCGCAGGTAAGATGACATGCAGTGTTTTAGGAGGGATGACGCTGATTATAGTCTTACCAAAAGGAATACAAGACAGTTGTAAGCCAATCGCCTGATATTCCTAGAGGTCTGGAGATGAAAACAGTGGATCCGGGTACCTTTCGAGCTTCGGTTTTGCGACAGCCGGATGCTGCACTGGGTACCGTGGTGGAGAATACTCTTCTCACTAAGCCCGGCACATCTCCCAAGAGACATATTGGTGAGCACACATTTCAGATGTGAAAAAGTATGATTTCTCATCCCACACAGTGTTCGAGCTCCCAGAAGGCATGAGTACACGAGCGGGAGATTACCTCGCCATGTAAGCCGTTCTGACGTCCAATATCACGTCGTTCCTTATCATGAACTATGTAGTCTCCCATCCAACCCTGTTCGGGACGTACAGCGAGTTATTGCGAGGTTTGGCCTATCAGGCGAGCAGGAGGTGCGTCTTGTGGTGTGACTTTGACTGTTTTGATAATGGTTATTTCAGATCATCCTATCGACCACTGGTCCTACACCTCTGCCAGTCAATCGACCTATCGGCATATTTGCTCTCCTCTCTGGCTATGTGGAAATCTCGCAGCCTGCCACCACGCGCGATCTCAACGTTTTGATGTCGGCCGAGAACGCTCCGGTTGACTTTCTACGAGAATTGACCTCCGATTACTCAGGGAAAGTAGTCGCAAGGCGACTCAGCATCCTCGACATTCTCGAAGATCACTCCTCTATGAAGTTATCGTTCGCGACGTACCTGCACATGCTTCCGTCTATGCGGGTGCGGCAGTACTCCATCTCGTCCTCGCCGCTGTGGGATGCACAACGCGTCTCGCTTACCGTCAGCGTTGTCGATGCGCCATCAATCGCCGGGCGTAAGGAAGGCTTCCTCGGCGTCGCCTCCACGTACCTTGCGGGCCTGCGCCCCGGTGACAAAGTGCAAATCGCCGTGCGCGCGTCGGCGACGGCGTTCCACCCGCCAGCGGACCCCACCATTCCGATGGTGATGTTCGCAGCAGGCTCGGGGCTTGCACCCATGCGCGGCTTCCTGCAGGAGCGTGCAATGCAAAAGAAGGCAGGTCGCGAAGTCGCGAAGTCGCTTCTGTTCTTCGGGTGCCGATCCCCCGAACTTGACTACCTCTACTCGGACTCGGACTTGAAAGAGTGGATCGAGCTTGGAGTAGTTGATGTAAGACCGGCGTTCTCGCGAGCCACAGAGCTTTCGCATGGATGCAAGTATATTCAAGAGTGCGTTCTTCCGCTTTATGATTTGTGAGATTTTCTGATTGCCATGCTGTCGCAGTCGTATCTGGCTAGATCGCGCGGACGTGAATGAACTATACGATAAGCATGCTAAGGTTAGCGATCCATCGTCCCTTCTTCGATTGCCTGCTATCGCATTAAGCTGTCTTCTATGTCGCAGTTTTACACTTGCGGAGCTCGCAGAATTGCACAGGGAATCAAGGACGTCCTCTCGAAGATGATAATGGACAGGCATAATGTCAACGAGTCAGAGGCCGAGGAGATGTTTGAACGTGCAATCCAAGGCAGGTACGCAACCGACATTTTCGAGTAAGACATGGTAAACGGGTGCTGGACAATCGTCTATGCGTCGATGCTGTTCAGATTTGGGCCCTGAGTCAAATGTAACTTACCGTCGTATGTAGAGGTTTTGAAGATGTGTATTAGAGAATTTCTGACGCTGTGAATTTCTACTTCAAGTTGGCGCTATGTGCGCTCATCAGAGCCTCCCATGACCAATGCACCCCCCGCTCTTGCGTTCAAGCTGAAATTGCTCATTCCCCTACCAGTGGAATCGCTTGCTCCTTATCCCCCACAAGCACAGAGTGAGGTTGAGAGAGAGAGATGGGGAGAGAGGAAGGATAGGGGGCTACCCCGCGCTACAGGCTAGAGTGGCCCGGAAGAACAGATGGCAGGTATGGTCCAGGCATGCTGGTTGTGGCGCTCTCGCCCAGCCTGGCTCGTCAAATCTCGTCGTAAGACAGCTCGAGGTCCTCGATATACGTCCAACAGGGAATGGCTGGGCGCGCGTGGTGGACGACACAAGACTATGCGTGCCCTTGACGAGGCCCGGCTAGGCGGCCATTCGACTCGGAGTCGACACCCATGGCCACCTTGGACGCCCTCTAGACTGGACGACAGACTCCTCTACCGGCGTAAAAACTGTCATGCGAGCTGCTAGCCGTTACAGCATTGTGTCATAGAGGTCTGAGTGATTCCGCCCGCCCCCCTGAGGCGGGAGACCCTACCCAGTATAAAGAGCTTCGCATATGGCAGATCATTTCCTTCTCATCCTCCTCAAGTCGTCTTTTCGCCACCTACAATGTCTCCTAATTTCCATATCCCAAAGGCCCAGAAGGCAGCCATTGTCGAGACTACCGACGCACCCCTTAAGATTGTCAATGACCATCCCGTCCGACAGCCTTCCGAACTTAAACCTGGAGAGTGTCTCGTCCGTCTCGACTGCAGTGGTGTCTGTCATACGGACCTCCATGCCCGTAAGGGCGATTGGCCGCAAGCGGCGAAGCTTCCTCTCATCGGTGGTCATGAGGTATGTGTTGCCTAGCGTTTTGATTCATGAACACTAACAGGGTCCATCCAGGGTGTGGGCATCGTTGTCGCAATCGGCGCGCACACGCAGGGTTCGCCCGTTAATCTGGGCGACCGTGTCGGCATCAAATGGCTGGCGTATTCCTGCCTAGACTGCGAGCAATGCCGAAAAGGAATCGAGCAGAGTGCGTTCACTATGACATCATGGTCTTTGATCTTATGATGATGGTTGTTCCTCGCTCCGACTTTCCGATAGGTTGTCCTAACCAACTATTGAGCGGCTTCACTACTGATGGGACATTTTCCCAATACGTCGTCTCCTGGGTCAGTCATGTTACCCCCATCCCGGAGAATATGAATAGCTTCGAGGCTGCCTCCATTCTTTGTGCCGTGAGTTGTTTTTAGAACCCATCTTGTGCTCATGTATCCTAATGAAACTCGATCACGCAGGGAGTCACCGTATACCGTGCTTTGAAGTATTCGAGGGCACACATCGGCGACTGGGTTGCTCTCCCCGGAGCTGGTGGCGGTCTCGGCCATCTTGCGATACAGTATGCAGTCGCAATGGGGTTCCGAGTTGTCGCCATTGGTATGTCGTATTGCAACACATAAATCCCATTCCCCGTCCTAATCCGTTTCAGATACCGGCGCGGAGAAGAAAGCACTCTGTGAAAAACTCGGTGCGGAGCGGTGGATCGATTTCCGCGAGACGAAGGACCTCGTGAAGGAT